CTGGTGCAAATTACTGACCTCTGTCATCATTTTAAGTGGGGGAACTTGCACAATCGGTGGCTGACTAAATACTTTTTTGCCCCACTGTATGTGGTGGGGTTATTTTACATTTTCCTGTTTAATAATTGATTGATTTATTTCAGTTAATCAAGTTATTTGTTTGTAACCAGGTTAAAGCTATCATTTATGTGCTGAAATAGTAAACACATTAAAATCCATGTTAAAATTTAAAATATTTAAAATAACAATGCTAACTGTTAAGTAAAAAAAATGGAATTCCTTTTAAAAGGAAAAGGAATGTTTTCCTTTAAAAAAAACTTTAAATGAATATATCCATTATGTATGATTTATTTTTACAAGTATCCTGTTTAACTGGGAAGAGCTTTATTAAATGAAGTGAATGGTTGTGATCGAAGGCAGGACTGAGAGAAGTTGCAACAGAAAGTATGAGATGTTTGTGCAAGTATATATGTATGAACTGGACTATCTGCTCAACAGTCTTTGTTGATACTCACTAGCGTCACTTTGCAGAGTGGGTAGGGTTTAGGTTTTCATATTTGTAACATTTACTTATTTCTACTTTTGAATCTTGCAGCTTCCAAGTGCTGGGATGATCTGTGGTGTAACTATCATCGGCCATCTGTCTGCGCTATGGAAATCTGATGAGTCTTTGACTGAGACTTTAGCATTAAATTCCTGCACGTATGTGTGCTAGAGTTTGTGTTTTGTTGTCTCTTACATTATTTTATTTTGAAGCATAATATATCCTTCTTTGTAGCACCCAAGTAAAACCACAAAATGACCAGTCAACACAAGCTGGGCTATCTTAAAGATCTTAAATTTCTCTTGTTTGCTCACATCTCATTCTTGCAACATTAAAGTTTTAAGCAAGCATGTCTCTGTCTCATGTATTAGTTTAATTATCTGGTCCAATAAACCAGTCTATTTAATACATTCATGAGACATTCAGTAAACTTAAATAAAAGTGCTAAGATCGTTTATACAAATCTGTGTTTCCCTCTTTATGTTTGTGTCAATGGAAAATTATACTTAGTAGTCAGTATAATATTTTAATTATATAAGTTTGCATATGGTAGAATACTGCATGTAATCATTTGTGTTTAGAAGTATATAGTTGATGGCATGTTGAAAGAATGTCTCATCCTAGGAGGTCTGTAACAACTTTGTGTGCATTTCAGAGTGTTCTGGCATTCACACCCACATCCTGGGAGCATGGGAAAGGTCGTGCCTTGTCTTATTGTTTTATGATAGGATAAACGTAGCTATGTCTGTTTTAGTCTAAGTGCCTTTTGTTTAGATGAACTGCTGGACTTCCAGGCCAGCAGGTTTAGGGAAGTCTTTATGGGGTCACACTCTGACCCCACACACGCACATATACAAATCCACATTCCAATGTAATGAATAAACACCCCACCGATGTATATAATAAAGACCAGGGCAATGGGAGAGCGGACTCTTGGAGCCCTCACTTCCGTGCGGGCATTCTGAGAGCTCCCCTTGCTGCAAGTAAAACTGTGTGTTTCTCCTCTCTGATTCGAAGCTGAAGAAATGTTTAAGAATATATCTCTTAACAGTTTGTATGTAATGCCAGGGTAAGTGGGCATGTGATGAAAATTTGATCTACTTTTTTTTAACCCCTTTCTAACTCTCTACCAACATTATTCCTAAACACAACACTCCTGTCTCCTTGTATACAGTTAAAGATGAAACAACAAAAAATTGTCAACACATAATCCAATATGTAGAAACTTATCTGTAGCTTACCGTGCCTGGGCCCATCTCTGAAAGCACAGAAATTACAAATTCAAGCCTAATCTCCTTCATAGAGAGGATAACAAAACATGACAGTAATCTAACTATTTTAAGCAAACTTTGGAGTGTACATAACAGTATTTAGCAAGGAAAAGAGAAAGACGAGATGTGTGGTTCGAACCAAGTGTGGTTGACACCAGAACAATGGAAGAAAGGGGACTGACACCACCACCTGGGGGATTTCAATCCAGGAAATATGACAATACCACAATCTGGACACTAAATATCACCATTGTTTACATCACTAACACTGGTTACATACCAGTCAGAGTATGCTCTAAATTATCTTATCGGATATAAGATAATTTGTAAAGATAATTTTGCATAACCTGTACTATTATATTTCGGGTCAAAGGTGAGCTGGAACAGGGTATACTCTGGACAGGTCGCCAGTCTATCGCAGGACTAACACATAGAGACAGAGAACCATTCACACTCACATTCACACCTTTGGGCTTTTAAATTCACCTAACCCCTCTATCTCCTATCACTACATCTCCTTTAAACCCTGGGAAATAGACAAATGTAATGGATTGTCTTAAAGAGATTAATGATTGGATGACAAACAATTTCTTGCAGATGAATGCAGACAAGACTGAGTGTTTGATTCTTTCCCCAGAGAGCATCAAGCCCCAAATTAGTCAACGTCTGGGTCCTTTCTCATCCTCAATAAAAGCTACCGCTCGGAATCTTGGGATGATTTTTGATCAATCTCTGTCTTTTGACGCTCATACCAATTTTGTCATCCGCTCCTGCTTTTTTTCATCTAAGAAACACTGCCAAACTCAGGACTATTGTATCCAAAGGCGATTTGGAAATGCTTATCCATGCCTTCATCTCCTCTCGTTTAGATTACTGTAACGCACTCTTTTCTTGTCTGTCTAAGGCTTCCCTAAATCGTCTCCAAGTGGTCCAAAATGCCGCAGAAAGGCTTTTATCCCACAGTCATAAATTCTCCCATATCACCCCTGTGTTAAAATCCTTGCACTGGCTTCCGGTTGGGTATAGATATCGGTTTAAAATCCTCACTTTTACGTTCATGTCCCTACAAGGTGAGGCCCCCACTTATATCACTGAGCTTCTCCAACCCTACTCTCCAAACCGGATCCTTAGATCCACTGATAGTGGTCTTCTAATCATTCCACAGACCCTTTTGAAAATGAAGGGAGATCGTGCTTTTCAAACCCTGGCTCCAATGTTATGGAACAGTTTACCTCGCCCGCTATGCACCAT